TAGCTCTCTATCGAATATAACCTCTTATATACTAAGCGATTGCTCTACGGAGCGCAGCCCCTTACATAACAACACCTAAAGAGTAAGGTAACTCAGAGCGCCAGCACTAGAATAATGATGTTCTAGTGAATGGATATGTAGTGAGAGGTAGAGTAGATAGTTTGACATTAAATAGAACCTGCGTACTACCAATTCTTTGCTCTCAGGAGCATTGCCCCCTCACACCAAATACCTAAGTAAAGACAATCAACCTACTAAACTGCCGCCACTGCTCTAGATTACAATATTGCTTGTATAAGCAGTTTGGTTTGTTTATAACAGCCTAAAGTATCATCGCGTGCTGAATTGAATTAAGCCTTTAGGTGGAACGCTGGTAATGTTGTAAGGGTCCACTATCTGAAATCGATTCTGATCCATTTTCAATCGCATGAAGTGGACCAAGGCAATAGTCCAACACTTCATTTCTGCTAATGTTAGTGATTTATGAAGTCGAAATTCCAAATGTTTAGAGTCTTATACATGTAGACAAAGTTCCACAAAACTCACCTATTACTGCTAGACCACGGCCTGGGCAGGACCACTTTCCAAGGCCAAAAGCTAGATAACCAGGCCCAGTGGTCTCAGCGAACTTACCACTCCCCATCCAGCGTTCCGGATCAAAATTATCTGGATCAATGTGATGCCTAGATGATCGATAGGAAAGGTATGTTACGGGCAAGACAACCGCTCCTAGAGCAAAATTAATTACCCTTTACTTGCAAACGTAACAAGCTCACCGAAACTAACCTTTGGGGATTAAATAGCCTCCTAAGTTCACATCACGAATAGTTGCTCGGACCAGGTTAACGCTATCGCCCTTCATGCGAAGGACTTCGCGAATAAAAGAATCTGTGCGGGATGCTTTTCGCAGCTCCCGAAAACTCATCTGAGTCATGTCGCTCTCACGACCGTATAGTTCGATGGCCTCTTCGTAAAGCCAGTCTTGGCGTTTCAAGTCAGTGGCCAGGTAGAAAGTAACCCAAGTCATGATTGTCGCACTACCACCAGTCAGTCTGATTTCTCCAATCCTTTCATCAACCTGACCCGCGAGCACACTAAAGAACCAGGGTACCCACGTTTGATGTAGGCTCGCAAATACGACGGTGAACATCAAGACGAAGATCCAGAGTCTCGAACCTAAGGATATTGTACTTCCAGGAGTCGTGTATCTTCTTGCCAAATACTCTATCAAGGAATCGTTCTAGGCTCATTTTAGCCCGTAAGATCATTTCGATAACGGAAGTACATATGCTCACCGAATTATCAGAGATATCTCGCTTAGAACTAATCTGAAGCCATATCTGGCGAGTCAGTCGAGGGCCGATGTGATATGGGATGCGGATGAACACGACTGTAAGCCTTTCTCAAACATTTAGTTTGCCGCTTTTTTACAAGAGAATTTGTACAATTACCATGTATATTATTATTATTATTATTATTA